AATGATTGGCTAAGGGTGGCCATGGCCACCCCTGGCTCCCCATCTACCTCCACCCCTGCCATTAAGTCACTTTTTTTTAGCTGAAAAGCCAAGTGTTGAAGGAGTTGAATGGATCACATTATTTTTTATTTGTTTTCTGATTACTCTTAATTAAAAATAAAGTAGTAAAGTTAATAAGGCTTCAAATTGTTTGTCATTCAGCTCAGCAAGGATGCGAGGATGCATAACTTCTTATTGGAAAACGTCCCAAAGGCGGTGCAGATTGACAGATTCCTCTGCTGCAGCTGTGGCTGATGCACTCTGACCAAGATGTGGGCTCTTTGGTTTCCTCTACTGTCTGCTTTCAAGCTGTACCTGCTTGGCTTTAAGGTTCTTCTGGCTCAGCTGTTAAACACACCTTTAAAACTACCAGGTTAGTTAATTTCTCTTTTAGTTATTTATTTAAACGTTAGGAAAGTTGGATCCGTTCAGCATTGAGCCATTCCCCTGTAGCGTCGCCCAGAAAGTGAACGGAAGACTCCTAGCTGTTAGCGCTGACTACTGTCGTTAATGCTAAGGTAGCATGCTAGCTAGGTTAATTAAAAAAAGGCTAAAAACACGGCTACATAAAATGTTTTGGTTGTTTTTTTTTTAGCCGAATTTGCCGGGTTAGCATTCTTAATACATCAAGCGTCAAAGTTTGTGCTCGGAAGTGTTATTATTTATTCCAGAATAATTAAAAATTTAATAGTGGCTTTTTGTAACGCAGTTCGGTTCGGAATAACAGTTGTTTTTGACGAACTCGCCCAAAGTGCTTAGCATAAATCAGGGTTGTTCAATGTTATTACTCAGTTGTGAAATTTCTCACTGATATCAGCATTTATTCTCTTTTGTTTTTTCTGAATTTGAGAATTTACCTTTACTGATGAATAGGTTTGTTGTAAATCTGCATTAAACACATCGCGAGTTTAAATAAAATATGTTATTTAGCCTTTCATTTCATTCAATTGGCAGGATCAATCCATTATGCTATCATGTTCATGTCAATTCAGTTAATTTCTCTATTGCCAATTCACAACACATGTCATCTTTAGTCAAATTGATTCAAAGTTTCTATCTAAGGAAACCAGTTGATTGCATTGACTCCAATGTAATCCTCACACTAAGCATGCTTGTAGCGACAGTGGAGAGAAAAAAATCCCTTTTAACAGGAAGAAACCCCCAGCAGAACCAGGCTCAGTGTGAGCGGCCATCTGCCGAGGCCGACTGGGGTTTCAAGGAGACAGAAGCAGAGATACAAAAAGCAACTGTAAAAGGCGGCCCCATCCTGGAAACATACAGCCAGGCAGACGAGCTCTGAGCCAGCTCCTGTCTCAGAGGATGAAGAGAGCGCATCCAGCCAGTCACAGTCAGAGAAACAGGACTACACTGGAAAACAGGCCAATCTCCAACATCTATAAACAAATGTGTTGATGGAAGCGGCACAGCTGATGTTTCTCTCCAGGGTGGAGTCACAGCCAAACAGGAACAAATGAGGCAAAGCTAGTATGAGGAAAAAGCAGAGAGAGCAGAACGTTAGAGATTGAACTAACAGATTCTGCAGAGTGGGAGAATAGAGACAGAATGATGAAATAGGGTGGAAATAGGGGTCCCTATGTCCTCCAGAAGTCTAAGCCTATTGCAGCATAACTATAGAGATAGCTCAGGATGTCTAATGGATTAGTCTAATGGATTGATACCAACTAAAGGTAGTATATTAGGTACTACCTACAGTGTTTAGGCATTACATCTAAATTGTAGTATTCAACAAAAAAATGTATCCAAGCAATAATATTGCACATAATGATGTTTTATTTGAATACTCTTAAATTATTTATTCTAAAATAGATTATGGCACCTGGCTGTAAGTTATGGATTTTGCCTCTTAAATATTTTTGAACATCAGCGGTGGGTTTTACAGTTTATCAACAGCGTAGGCTAATTATAATGAATTGTTATGTGAAATTAAATTGTCTCTGACATCTGTGTCCTCTCCTGACTCCAGTGATGCCCAGACAAGATGGCAAGGTTGCCATAGTGACAGGAGGTGGCAGGGGAATCGGCTATGAGGTTGTCCGGCACCTGGCCAGACTGGGAGCACATGTTATTATAGGTACAGTATCAAGTTCCTTATCAACGATCAGCAAACACAACTGAAGAGATAAACACATATTATGAAGAGAGATTTTCCCACATTATCAATTACAATTCTTGCTTCTTAATGAAATATATATTTTTAATGAAGACTTCGACACATTTATATAACAAAAAAACTTATCAATTGATGGAAAAAAAAAAATGAATAATTTATGGCTTAAGTATACTGAGAAATATTTTCGTACAGTATTTTCATAGTCATATTGTTAGCTATGCCTTTTTCCTTTTGGGAAGCATTGAAACTGGGAAGTGTTTATAGTTCTAATCTGTAAAAGCACAATAAACATAATATATATTTTAGAATTTCTCTACATGTTGACTTTGCAACTCATCTATTATTGGAAATGTGACTTCCTAACCCCCAGAGAATGAGAGAATCTTTTACTAAATGCGGAAGTGAGGATAAATTAACCATGTCTAATTACAAAGGATGCCGGGAAAGCTCTTGATTACTGCAAAAAACACAATCTTACTCACTACAGAATGAGTAAATTGCTGTCAACATGCTTAATGCACCATGCAGCAACCTTAAACAATCTTGTTGTGAAGCACAAAAGTAAAAATGAAAATAAAAAAATGGAAAATGTAAGCTGTTTTTTTTGTTGTTTTTTTATTTCCAAATCAGAAGTTGAATGTTTCAGTTTCACATTTTTTATGGAATACCCTTCTACTGCTCATCGTCTGCTCATCTGAGACTATATTGCAGTAGGGCAGCAGTCTATAAAGGCTTCCGTGTTTCCAGAAACTTCTCCCAGCTTCTCTGGAACATTGTTTTGCTTCTAAATTAGAAAAATCTGCCTTAAGAAAAGCTTTAGTGCATCATCCAGAAGTACCTTTAGTGATCTGCTCATATTTACTAAAATCTTGACATTCTTTCCACACTTAAGGACTTAAAACAAACCAGACAACAAAAAAGATAAAACCTCAAATAAACTATTAAATCTCAAACCATTGAACAAGCCACAAGTGAATAAAGTGACCGAGCTCCTAGAGTTTCAGGAGCTTCTGCACAAAAAGTGAAAATCAAAAGGGGATTTGAACTCATCTGCCACCTGCTGGCTTGTCATTTGGTTACTTTAGCATTCCCTGTCTGCCCTCAACCTGAGTCTGTTCAATTTGTGACTCGCAGCAAGATTCCTCCAGAAAGAGTGGCGGGGAGCCGCTCTCGATAGCCACGCTGCACACGAGGAAAATCTGAAAGTCAGGGAATAAAACTGTCAAAAGGTTGTACAGTGTATAGTAGCGTGAGCTTCATTTTCCAATGTGTTTTCATTTAGCTCTCTGGGGTGGTTTTATGTGATCTTTCATCATGTATTACATAGTTAAAAGCTGTAATTTAGGTTTGCATTGCAGGCATTCTAGCTAAGGCGGTAAACTACCAGGTATATTAAATACTGTATATATAATCCTACATTTTAAGAAGACAAAAATCTGATTGAATCATGATTTCATAAAAAAATCTCTTTTTTAAAGGTGAACAGTGAACTTTATTTGATTTCAAGCAGGAATTGAGGTTGCTCCTCTATAATAAGATTAGCTCCGTCCTCTTGGGTGTTTTTGATTTTATAGCAGAAAGTCTTATTTATTTTTTTGCTAGAATTCTCTTTGTACGATAATGAGATTTCCCTTGTTTAAGAGTGTGCTCCGGATGAATAAATAAATCATAGGAGAATTCAGTCAAGTGTCTGTTGCGGCTTCAGGCAATCCTTTGTGTTTTTAGACTAATCCCACAGACGACGACTGCGCATGTATCTACAATGCAAATCCACCAACTGAATTCATGAAGTGTGAATATTTATGGTAAAGTGGATCCCGCTCTGATAATGGAGTGGCTGCATATTTCAGGTGAAGTGTTGGCGTAGCGCTCGTGTGTGGAGGAGGAGAGTTTGCTTTGAGTCTCTGCACTTTCAGATAAAAGATTGTGGATTTCAGGGTTGAAACTGCAGTACGGAGACTCCATTAACTTCTTCCTTATTTTATTTATTTATTTATTTTTTTTCATTTAACAGCCACAAAGCTGAGAAAATTTTTTTATTGAGATGTTGTGTAACGCACCAGGATAGAGTAGTGCGACTGTTGAATAAAAATAAAATAAGGCTTTAATTTTCTCAACACTAAAGTTCTGAAAAGAATTATCCACATTCCCTGTATCGGCCTTAAAACTGAATATCGGACATCGGCCACCCCACCGATATT